CAACTACACCACTAACACGTGCATCTAACTAGTTTTTATAAAAGTCATTTTTCCTTATTTATTACATGGATTGCAGCTAACAAAAAAACTTAATTTAATACTATATGGCTGCAAGAGAATTATCTTTAGATTAACTCAAAAATAAATATAATCTAAATATTTTCAACAAACGCACCCAAAGGATACAACGTACATAAGTTTTATTAAACAATTTAATATTCACAAAACATTATAGTTTGGCCACTTTCATGACATTTTGTTTGCAGTTTATTTTTATTTCAAACATGTCACAGGTTATATTTTTGTGTTGAGCTCATTGTTCAAAGTTGGTCAATGTATTATTTAAATTTGGGATAATTGTAGCAACAGTATCAAACATTTCATTTAGTAGCAAACTTTGTCCAAACCTTTTAAAATGTCGCAACTCAAGTCCAAATGGATGGTTTCTGTTAGTTTATCCTTTAGTTAACCAAATAATTGATATTGACAATAATTTTGACTAATTTTAAATGGTTAAAATTGTAATTTTACATTTTTTAAGCGTCTGTTTGAGGGCCATTTTGGTGAACGAAACCATTTTAAAGAATAGTGGAAAATTATATATAAAAAAAAGGGACCTAGTCTGACACTCTGATTCCCTCTTTTTAGATTGTTACTCTACCTACTACTCTACATTTCCATTAATACTCTTATTCCTGACTTCACCTAACCCCTCTATATGGGTCTTTACGCAACAGTTGCTTGTGAAATTTCTTTTCCATACTTTTCATTTTTTACTACAATTTTCTTTTCATTATGTCAGATGTTGACCATAATCGCATGTTTGAATTTTCAAAATAACTATTCCTCTTGGTGGAACTGTTTATGTTTTTACGTGTTCGAATATCGAATTATTTGTCAAGTTTGGTATTACTCAAAAACGTAAACATATGGCTAACAATCCAAAACGAAAAATAATGTTATTTTAATGTCAAATAGTGAAACTGTAAGCATTTATGTTGCAATATGCTAGCCTCAATATCATACTATCGTAGTTAGTGCATCATATAATCACGCAGTTGGTCCCATGGTAAATCTTCCTCCCCCATTGCATCAACTTCTGCTGCGACTTCGTCTTGCTCCGATGGGAGGTATATTTCTACTTCGTCATCACTTTCCTGTTGTTGCTCTACGAAATGCTTCGTCTGCACTGTCGTTACGCCTCAAAAAATTGTGCACCACCATTGTTGCAACAACATCTGTTTGCACGGGAAATGAGTAGCTTGGCATAAGATCAAGAATTTTCCATCGCTGCTTCAATACTCCAAATGACCTCTCGATGACATTCCTACAGGACGAGTGATAGAAATTTAATTGTTCTCGTGCATCACAAAATCTTCGTCGTATGCCTGTCGGCACCGTACGGAACTCCTGAAAATGATAAAGAATATTTGATCCTTTGTACGACGCCATATAACTTGGTCGGTGTGCAAATCCGAGTCAACGAGATAGTACTTCACAGGAGCTGGAAAATTAATATCTGGATTATGTATCGCATTCACCAAAATGCGACTGTCGTGCGTATTCTCTATATACTTGGGGAGCACGAACATGAATCATAGGTTAAAATCGCATGCTGGGAGCACGTTCTGCGTTGGAATTTCTTTTCATCCTCGTGAAGCGGTAAGACGACCCTCACGTGTGTACCATCAATTCCCTTGTGAAGTAGTGACTATGTATAATACTATGAAGTTGTAATTTGCCTTTCAAAGTTTTTGACCGGGTTTAATAACAAATTCCCTTGTAATTATATGTCTCTGATTGGTGGGAATTAAAATCAAATTTTGAAAAAAATTGATGCAATATATTATTGAAAAGTTGTAGACCTCATAAAATATGTGATTAAAATTAATTGTTGACTTTGACTTAAATTAAAATTTTAATATTAATTAGTACCAAACATGGACTTTAATAGAAGTTGATAAAATGTGTGATTGAAAAATTATAGAATCCATAAAATATGTGATTAAAATTAATTGTTGATTTTGATTTAAATTAAAATTTGAATTTTAATATCTGCAAAACTAATGTGCACGGTATTCATCTTATACTAAACATTGAAACCCATATGACACGTCATCTATATGCTTAGCATAAGATCGGACCAAGTCAATTGGACACACATTATACCTACACATCTTATTGATAAATAAAACAAAAAATTATAATTTTATTGTTTATATCATCTATTCTCATCTAATACTTCGAACTATGGTTTTTTTTTTTTTTTTTAAAGGGAAATTCCCACTAAGAAAGGACAAAGTGTTTATCATTTGCACAAATAATGGGTAATGCTACATGTACATAACCATTCACATAATGGTTCACATAATTACACGTGGCATGTGATCCTGCCTTTAATTCAACTTTCACACTTACACATCAATAAGTGGATGATTGCCACATCACCATTATGCAGAGGGTGATGTACAACTAGATTAATCCCGAATT